TATCCCTCACACTCCTTTACACACTCGCCGTGCACAAATTCGCCTCTTCCTCCTCTTCGTCTAAACTCGCCCCTATCTTTTAACTCCCATCACATATTGCACAGTCCCTGTGTGAACTCCCCCTACACATATATTTCTCGAACTCGCCCTCCTCTAGCTGTTACCGTAACGAAACGACGCCAGAAATCCATAGACACTAGCTTCCCGCCCTGAACTCAAACTCCGCTCTACAGCTCACGTTCCCAAACTCGATCATCACAGACGCTGGTTGCGTTTCAGTGCCAAATGAAAGCACCAGCCGATGGCTCCTGTTAACGGCAGCGCGCCGAGTTTTTCGCTACTGTTGCTACCACCTCGAACCACACGGCTACAACAATATTGTGGTCTGATGTTTGACCGAAATGAACGCGAATCTTTGCTAACATATAGTGTCTACACGCGAAGTTGCTACTTACGTCTTAGGTAGATCGATCATGTGCGTCTATAGATCATGAACTCTCGGCTATAAAACACTGATCGACGTAAATGTTTAAAAAAAACATATTTAGAAAATCGAATGGAAAATCTCCCTGGAAAACATGCACGATTCAGTTCACTTCCGGTAGGTGCGCTGGCTGTAGACTTACAAACACGCAACCACAGGCTAAGGGATACAGTAGTCTGTCACGTAACCATGCAATGGATTCGCCAGGGCACACGCGCTGGCTGTGGAATCAAGTCCTCCCCCACCTGCACGCTCGCACTCAGCGCATATCTATCTATCAATCTATCTATTTTTCTAACTATCAATCTATTTTTCTATCCATCTATCTATTTATCTATCTATCCATTCATCAAATGCGAACCTGTAACCCTTGAGGTGAAAGGCACTCAAAATCAATGGGGTTCCACTGCCCCCTAAGGTCCACCTCTGGACCAAGTTTGAAGTTTCTACCTCTAACGGTTGCAAAAATATCGAGCAGACAGACACACGCACACAAACACACAAACGGCGCGAAAACAATACGTTCCGCTACACTACGTGCGGAGGATATAAACCGTTACTACGAGGCGTTTGCCTACATTTTTCCAAGAATTATTACTACAGTCAAACCCCTTTAGTAGGAAACTGACGGACCAAAAAAAAAAAAATGTATTACGCGGGTTTCGTATTAACCACTTCAACATATATTAGCCCCGAATTAACAAAGAAAAAAATATGGATTACAAGGTGTGTACAAGGTATTTTATATAGGTTTATATGTTTATATAATCCAACTTTAGTAGCGTTAAATTGTTCACAAATAGATACAATTACTGCAAAGCCTAAACTCCTCATTCAATTACTACTATT